TAGTACGTATGTGTGCACCGCGCGCGTGCACGAGGACGCCGCCGGCCCCGTTCCAACCGAACCGGTTGGAACGGGGCGAGAAACCCACCCCTGGTTGAAGTCCACAAGTCTTAAAGTTGCCAAGTTTGCGAACCACTGCTTTAGGCACCTCTCTGAGCCTAAAGTTGAAATCTTCTGTGCTGAAAGGATATATATCACCTAAAATTTGGCATTGTAGTTTGATTTCCTTCAAAATATTTTTTCATAGATTTTGTATAAATGATTATCCTGAAGATATTTATTTTTGGCTCAAGAGATTTTCTCCTTTTCTCAAATTTAATGATTGGTAAAATATGGGATATTTCAGATTTTATTTTATAGAAAGAAAAATGTTCCAAATGTTTAACTTTGAGGTAGCATTGTAGAAAAAGAGCCATCCTAATCCATGGTAGGAAAAAAAATCAGGAGCAGAAGCTTCTTTTCCAGCTAGCAAATGTTATTAAAAAGTGTAAGCTTTCATGAGCTTCACCTTGCTTCATCCACTACATGGAATGGCTTAATACAGCTTTTAATACAATATAATGTGTTAAAAGTCAGAAAAGCTGCTGCCAACCTCATTTCCATTAAGGTGGCAATATCTGTGATCTGTCAGAAAAGATTTAATTTTACAGAAATGCTTTAAGGCTTACTTTCATTAACAGCTTATGTATCACTGAAGATGCTGGTTTCTAGAGAAGTTTGGAGCTTCAATTTTGAAGGGACAGAGTGGGTTTGAAGCATGTAGTAGCCCAGATGTAGCATCTCTCCTTTTAAAGAAACGGCATCTTTTCCTAAGATTGCACTGTTGCAGCACCATCCTCAGAAAAGACTCATTGGTTTAAGAACTTGTTTACAGGTACTAAGCCTGCACCAGAGGTGGGTTGCTCCCGGTTCAACCCGGTTCAGCTGAACTGGTAGTGGAATTTTTGCCTGGGTCACAGAACCGGGAGTGACCCAGGCTTGCCGTGACCCCAACTGGTTCCCTTGCTGCCGCTGATGTCACCGCCATGTTGTTTTGTAATGACCGTGTGTTTGCAAAGAACAATTTACATTGAATTGCGCACACATGCGAAGTGAACCTGTAGTAAAACCCACAGCCACCCACTCCTGGCCTGCATCTCTGTGCACATAGAGCCGAGGTGGCACAGTGTTAGGGTGCAGTACTGCAGGCCACTTCAGCTGACTGTTATCTGCAGTTCAGCGGTTCTAATCTCACCGGCTCAAGGTTGACTCAGCCTTCCATCCTTCTGAGGTGGGTGAAATGACGACGCA